CTTGTAAATGTTATTCATTGTTTTACTGTCTTCTGATATTAAACAATACATGGCTCGTGCGAAGCGGTGACATGAGAGAAATGAGTGTATAAAAGTGGGCTTGTTTCTCCCCCCAAATCAGTCTCCTGTGTAGTAAACGTACATGAATCATCGTCTGCAATTTACCAACACTACAACATGGCTACCGATCTCATAAAATGGTTGAAAAAGCACCATTACCGTCACCAAGCGAACCAAACTTGCTCGATCCTAATAACATCAACAACGTCGAACAGTGCGAACTGTCACCTGAAGTAATTGCCGTTGTCAATGAAGAGATAACATCCGCTAGTCGGAAACAAAAACGCAGCAATTATCAGCACTGTGATGAAAATATTCGAGCTAAAATCGGCAAATATGCAGTAAACAACGGAGTGATGAATGCTGCTAGAAAATTCACTAAAGAACTTGGTAGGCATGTTGGTGAGAGCACGGTTCGAAGAATGAAACAATCGTATCTCAAAGCAATTCGGAGTGGCAAAGAAAATGTCAACACATTGCCGACAACAAGGGGACGTCCCGTACTGCTCGGTAGTGAACTCGACTCCAAGGTACAGTCACTTGTACGACGGCTACGCATCAAAAGCGGTGTTGTTAATTCAGCCGTTTGTATTGCAATCGGTCGAGGTATACTTCTACATGGAAATCGAAATTTACTACAAGAGTTTGGAGGTCACATCAACTTGACCGTAGACTGGACAAAATCGCTGCTTCATCGCATGGGTTACGTTAAGAGAAAAGGTACAAAAGCTGTCAAAAAAATTGTTGATGACTTTCCCGCCGTTGAAGCAGCTTTCCCTGAACCTTCCCGGTAACCAAGACTGTTAAAGAACACGATGTTCCTCAAGAGCTTGTTATAAACTGGGACCAAACCGGTGTTGCGATAATTCCAGCAGGCGAGTGGACAATGGAAGAACAAGGATCACGTCAAGTCACGATAGCAGGACTCAATGACAAGCGGCAAATTACTGCATTGTTTGCATCGACTGCTTCAGGTGATTTTTTACCACCTCAGATATTATATCAGGGGAAAACGGATCGTTGTCACCCGGGCTACAACTTTCCCGATGCTTGGAATGTTTTCCACACAGAAAGTCATTGGTCGAATCATAATTCCATGATGCGATACGTCGATAACATCATTATACCGTACGTGAATGCAACCAGGATGAGGCTTCAACTTCCAGAGACCCAGCAAGCAGTCGCCATATTTGATGATTTTAAAGCACATCGCGGCCAAGAACTGTTAAAGAAGTTAAACGATCACAACATCTCTGTAGTATTTGTGCCAGCATGCTGCACAGATCGTCTTCAGCCCCTTGACTTGTCCGTGAATAAGATCTTTAAGGATGCGATAAAGCGAGAATTCCAGAATTGGTACGACGAGCGTGTGTGTTCAGGAATGAATGATGGCGTAGATGACCCGACGCTCGATCTCCGGCTAAGTGAACTAAAACCGCTTCACGCGAAATGGCTCGTTACTGCCGTACAGATCATTTCCCAACGACACGATGAACTGAAAGAAGGATTTCTAAAAGCAGGAATTCTAGACAGTTTTGTTTAAGGTTGTTTAATGATCACATTTAAAAAAACTGTTGACACCAATCAAACTCGTAATGCATTTCCCCTGTAAATTATATAACTTAATGTCGACTTTGGTGAAACTTGCAATTCATGTACTATTAATACTGATGTGTAGTATTTATTATTACAGTTGAGATAATATTTTAATAAATAAAATATTGATGCTCCAAAACACTTGTATCTTTTGTTTTGTCTGTGTTACAAGTTTGTGTGAAACCTCAATGGGTGAAACAAAATTCAAGATGGCCACCCGGAACACAAATTTGCGGTGTTTATTTTTCACGCATAAAACCCCAGCGCGTAATGAGTGTAAATTAAACACCGCCAAACATTACCACTCTACAGTAGTCATAATTATATTAATCCCTAATTGTCTTCATTAAGCCTGTAAAAAAAAATACTCTTGGCAATAAGATTAATGCTACCAATATTTGTTACTGTATAAATGAAAATAGCTTATTGGGAATGATCTGCAATGTTTGTCAGTTATCTTTATTTTGAATACGACCATAGATTTATAAGATATAGGTATGTAACTTTTATATCCATGCACAGTGCAATGCGATCCATTTGTGTGTCAATATTTCTGACAAAAGGCATCACAACGCAATGCAATGGATGCTCAAATAAATGCAAGGAATACAATCCAAGGCGGACACAATTTCATTCACAGATTCGCTCATTGCATTCAGTATCTTACGAATTACATGTTGTATATTTGCATATCACATCAGTTTAGTTGCATACCGTTATTTTATAAATCCTTGATAAAGTCCTGCATGATCTGTGGACATAATAATCAACAATGTGTTTGGAACTTTGTAACTGACTAGGGTATGTTTTTTGTGTAGGTGAGCCGCCACAGAGCTTGAACGAGACTCCATTAGACGATAATGATGTGATGAATTCCCCTCCGATGCCTAGGATTACGTCAACAAAAAGAGGTGAGACTAATTTTACTTATTAATTGCATGTTAAATTGTTGAACTTGTGATATAGCTGGTATTAATTCTGACCATGCTTCGTTCAGGGGAACACTGATTGGTAGGGTGGAATGAACCTGATGTTTGGAACTCAGATGACTGGACATCATAGACAGCAGCCTTTCAATTAAATCTTTGTGTTTCTTGTCATGTAGGTTTAGTCACAAGAAAAGAAAAAGCAAAGAATGAAATTAATCAGAAAAAAATAATAGGTAATGCAAAGTTGGATATTAATTGTGTCGTTTCCATCCATTGTTTTATATCGCTGTTATGTATGTCATATATGTCACCTATATTACATGAATTAAGACTGAAATCCCTTGTTCATCTTTAGTATGTGCAATGTTAATTGCTTCCACGATCTTATGCATTGGTTTGTTAATTTACATAGTAGACGTCAAACCATTAAATGAAGTCAAGATCAAGACATTGGATGAAATAAAGAGAGAGAAGGCCCTAAAAAACAATCAAAAAACAAATCAAAATGAAGTTACAAAAACTGTGCTTGTTGAACCCAAAGTATCAGAGGTTAAAAAGATTTCACTGAGAAAGATGAGAGTGAGACAAGAACGAAAGCTATACAGACCGCCTGTTGAGTTGAAGTCAAAAGGTATTATATGCAATTTCCAGTGTTTTGCCTTCCTGAGCTTAGTCACTGTCCAAATTTGCATGTTCAATTCAGATGCATTCATCATAACCCTGATCAACCACTTCTGTGAGCTTCATCATTCCATCCTGCAAAGACAGACTTGCTGAACCGCTGTTTTGTCTATATTTCAAACTTACGATTGTTTTCATTTTACTATTTGTATTTTTCCCCTATTTAATTTGTATTCATCCGTGCATGATGCATGGAACCAATAAAACTTCACACATACTTTACTTGCATATTTAAAGACATCTTTTCACCCAATTTCACATCATATGCAACTCCTCAACTTGATGATTTTGAGCATATGTAGATTGATTGCTATATACCTAGGTCTGCCCTGCTCCTAGAATGATTGCTTGCTTCTTACACACATGCCATGGGACACATGCACATACAGTCCTGTAGAATCTTATAATGAAAATGTACAAAGCACAGTGTGTCAAGTCCTGATTTGTTTATTTTCAGTAGGTGGCTCACCACCTAATGAGCAGACGACTGTGGATAATAAAGTATCAAGGCCATCAATCAAGAGATTATCAAATATCAAGACCATTTCACAGGTTTGTCTTTTTGTGTTCATCAAAATGAATAAATTTGTGCTTTGAACAGCATCACAGGGGTCAAAATTTTACATTGTGACCAATTGTTGAAGGATTCTCAAACTTTAATAGTGCACTTGGCACATACATGCTTATTGCTAGATTTCAGATTAGTGAGGTTAGTACCGTTAAAATCCTATTATAAACCGTGGTTTGTATTACAATGTATCAAATAAAAATCTCAGCTCAAGTTCGGGGTGCGGTTTATATTAGGGACATATTGCAATCACTAAATGGGCGTGGTCATTTTTTCCCCCCACATCACTCGCACAAAACAAACAATACACCGTACAATCTTTTGAATATAAGCGTAACTCCAATTTAGATGTCAGGGAAGAGTGATAAGCCTTACGTCACAAAAAAACTGTTCACATGAAAAAAAAAATACTCTGTATATTTAATGTAATATGCATTTTTTTTTATTTTCTTCGTAACGGAAAGTATATATTGGGAAAACAACATGACTTTTTTTTATATCAAGAAATTAGTTGTTTTCGAAAGATAAACTGAGCATTGAAAAAGAATTTAACAGTTTTTCGGTGAGAACATCTCCTTGTCGAAAACTTGCAACACACGGACGTATTCATAAGGAGTATTGACAAAAGTTGTCACAAGACAAAAGCAGTTTCACTGCGTGTTTGACATCCTAACACTACTGAACAATAAAGAGGTGTGAATATTTTTAGGCATGTTGTCGAAACAAATGAATAGGATTAGAAACAATGTACCAGCTCGTTGAAACAAAGTCGGTCACGGTCTTGTTGAATTGGGGGTGCGGTTACTAATAGGTACTTTCCATGTTTTCAATTTTTTTTGAGAACTCTTTAACACTGAAGCCGAAATCGGGGGTGCGGTTACTATTAGGTATGCGGTTTATAATAAGATTTTAACGGTAGTTCTGTTTCTGTTCTGTATTAATGTGTGTTGTTGAGACCCAGTCAACGTCATCAGTGTTTCCTCGTTGTGTGGTTTCGGGGTTAGTATGTTCATCTTGCATACTGAAGATTGTGGGTTTGGCGAGTTGAAATTTTTCACTTGAAATAGAATTATTCCGTTTTTCTTTCATTAATTTTAAAGACCGATGAAATCCAATATCGATACAGTAAAGTAAACAGTAACTGATAAACATTACATGTCCCCCCAACCACTACAAAGTCACTGCCACCTAGTTCATCTGCATTACTTATCATGACAGTAAAAAGTTCAGTTCAGTGCACATTTTCAGTTGATTGCCAATACATTTTCCATAATAAATTTCACACCATAGCAACATTTAGGTAAATCTTTATTGCAATTAAAAAGACTAGGAAAAAAGTTACATACGTGAGAATTGGATTTTGTGACAGCTACCAGAACATTTCACAATGCTGAGTTCTCAGCAGTTCTTTTGTACGGTATCACGAAAAATAAGGTAGAAGAAGAAGAGAAAAATCAGAATGTGTTTTGCGTAAATACAAATAATCATTTAATGTGCTTCTTGATTGTCAGGAGAGTGATGCTGATCCTGCTGTAATCAAAGTAAAAAGTCTTGAAGAAATCTTACAAGAGAAGAAACTGAGACAACAAAAGGAAGATGAGAAGAAAAAGTCTGATGCCGAGACTCAAGAAATAAAAGAAAAAAAATCAACAAGCATTCCTATTGTATGGAACGATAGTCCTATTACTACTGGTAAATATAGCTACCTTAAATATTCTAATGTTGGTGACACTTGATAAATTACAGTAGAATTTATGTTTCTCGTAGTGATGCACTATTTAAGAAAACACTTTACAAGCTTATTGTGATTAGTGAATAATCTATGTTTCGAAATTGAGATGTTATCACTCCAATTATCTTCCAAAAGTTGCCAATTTAAAGTCTTTTTTTAACAGATTTGACCTGTAAGGTCACATGGTGCAATTTCAGGTGCAATTTCAATTTTTTGTGTACTTGCACTGTAAAATTTTAACTGTTTGTGATATCTATTTCAAAACATTCACTATCACTTGATGTCTAACTTAGAATACATGTGCAGTACATTGTAATATGTTAATGCCAATGTATGGGTTGGAGATGTATACAATATTAATTCTGGTGCCTCATGTTTATCTCAGCCCAAAATCCTGTCGTTGTGAAGCCAGTATCTGTGACTGCACCAGTGGCAGTTGAACCTGCAGCTGTGAAGCCATTAGCCGTGACTGCACCAGTGGCAGCTGAATCTGCAGCCGTGAAGCCGTTATCTGTGACTGCACCAGTGGCAGTTGAACCTGCAGCTGTGAAGCCATTAGCTGTGACTGCACCAGTGGCAGCTGAATCTGCAGCCGTGAAGCCGTTATCTGTGACTGCACCAGTGGCAGTTGAACCTGCAGCTGTGAAGCCATTAGCCGTGACTGCATCTTCGAAAGTAGAATCAAGTCAAAACTCTACCTCAACTAATACCAATGTTAAAAAGATAAGGTTGTTGAAGAGGAAGAGGAAGAGCTCACAGAGTGATGCGGCTTCTAAAAAAGTAGCTGTCACTGAAGAGGTGAGAATCTTGTTCTGTTTTCCATTCCCTTCTCACTGTTGTACTTAAAAATTTATTTTGTATTACTCCTGGCATGTGCATTGACTTTAAGTTTATTCACCAGGTGACCACCAGTGAAACAGTATCAGATACAGCTCCCAATGTGGATTCAACCATCCCACCAATACAGGGTAGTGATATCTCAACAACACAGACAAAGACATTGAAAAGATCAAGGGGTGCATCCTTAGAATTGGAGTTGAGATCAAGGTATGTGAGATCACTTGGTGGTGGTGGTGGTGGGTTGTGACAGTGGTGGATGCAGTGACATTATCTGTTCTGTGTACATAAGTCATAAGTGTTTTGTTGTCTGCGTCTGTAGGTGATACTTGGAGGACAGTATCTACCCACAATATATTAGCTTCCATTTTAACAATAGCAATGTTACTTGATTATTCAGCGTATAATTTTAAGCTTTGGAAGCATGGTTGAAAGTTATTAGGACTGACAGTCTAATGTGAAAAAAAAAAGATCTTTGACACATATATGTACTATCTCTATCTTTCAGTGGTGATTCCAAGAAAACCAAACCAGAACCAGATGACAGCATTGCTTTAGAAGATGAGTTTGATGATCTTCTGAAAGACGATGACCTAAGTGATGATTATGATAGAGATGATAGTGGTCATGAAGATGACTTGTTACTTGAACTTGATAAAATGATCAACAGCTGATCATTGTTAACACCTGTAAGGAATAATAAAAAAGTGGAAAGGTTAAACTTAAAGCACTTCCCACTCGATTTATATAAAGATTCTCTTCACTCCAAATGCTGCTTCTCAGACTCTAGCTTTAATTGACGTACCGCCAGTTTGGGACAAGATCCGAGTATCATCTGTAACAAAAAGAATTTTTTCATTGGGATACAAGCTAGTAGAATCTTTTTTTATTCAAGTCCGGACAAGTCCCATTGCTTTTCAAATGTTTATATATTATTTAAAAAAAAAAAGATTTTTTTTTTCTGTGAATAACATTTTTTGATAATTATGAAAATGATATTCATAGCATAATGTAGCCTGCATTCACTGTGTTTTTGCTTTGTATCACTGCATTTATTTTGTTCTTACAAACTGATTGATCCGCTGTTATCACTCCACATAGCAATTGTTCATTATACAAAGATCTATAAATATGCATAGTCTATATGAATTGTTGTGGGGCACCCATTCACATCTTCAAAATGGAACCTTTCCATCTGTTGCTAGCCAAACAATCTCTTATATTGATATCTTTCATCAAACCACTTTTGCTCACTCAGTTTCAAGTGTGAAATGTACAGAGTTTTAATACAAACAAACAGTAAACTCATTTTTCTTCATCTTAAGATATCTCTCATCTGACTTGCTTTATGTCTGTGCGCCCATTACATTACAACTCAAGATGGCATCAAACTACCAATATCATCACTGGTAATTGGTTGCCAGTTCCATATGCTGTAAATCTATGTCACAAATGTGATGATATTGATAGGAATGATATGACTGAAACTCTAATCATCTAACTGTCTTTGCATAAAACAAAATATAAAAAGTTTCCCTCTCAATATCAATAAAAAAATGAGCAGGTGTATCATACAACTAACATAAAAATCTATAATCTCGCTATAAAGAGCATACTTCAGTTCGATGGAGTTGTTCATATTGACGTCTGACTATATGGTATATACGTAGTACATATTCGCACCTTCTGTATTCTGTCATGAGCTGATAGTTTAATTTCACTCTCTGCAAACGCAATATTTTCCCCATTACCATTTCTATATATTATTTGTATATTATGCCATATTACCACCTATGTGTTCTGTACAGAACCATTGTATTTTAGTGTAAAATGTAATATCTCCAGTTCCAGGAGCAGGAGGTGACGTCCAGACGCCATGACTGTAGAATATACCAAATGTCTTGGATATATTCACTTGTTGCTACTATGTAATCTCAAATTTGCATCTGCATTCTTAAAAAGAAACACAAGACCACAATTCTAGAATTGCCATCACTGAAACCAGCCACCACTATTGTCATTAATGAAAACAAACACATTTGTTTACCGGTATATACTAGTATACTAAATTTGAGCCAAACCTGAGATGCTGAGTACATGGGTTTGTAACAATTTAATGTTGCACATCTATGTGTTCAACAATGTAATGTGTCTTGTCTCCATTGGGTTTAATACTACCCTTCCACATGTATAGTTATATGTAAAATAAGTACCAATATTTCTACTATGTTTTATGCATTACAGTAAACGACAGATTTGTCATACCATGCCAACAAAAGAAACAGCTCCAGGTTTAATTCCTAGTATTTTTGACAAATATAACAAAATATTGTACCTTTTTGGGACTGTCAGAATATTGTTGGTAAACTAGTGATGTGCTAGCCATGTGGCAAGACGTGTGTACCATATCCTCAAACTAAAACCTAATATTTGTATTGGCTTTTGTATAAGCACATGACAGATGCATGTCTGGTCAAAAGTATGTTGTATTTTATTGGTCCCAGTATACGATACAGTTTTTGATTTATGTACATGTTATTGGAGGTGCACTTTTAGATCAAATACTGTATTTTGAATGCTCTTTAATGTGTGAAAATCAAGAAGAAAAACATCGTTGTTGCTAAATTTTTATTAAAAACAACAAGACATAAAATTGTGTTACTAGCTTTACACTTTTTATCCCAACATATCACCTGAAGCATTCAGAGATAGTTGAAATGAGTGGGGAAAAAATGACAAATTGTATTTACACTTATGTCCATTTTTTTCTGGTACTTGTTTTGTTGCTCACCCATTCCAAAAAAATGAGAATCACTTATTTGATCAAACTAAGTGTATCAACATAATACTTATTTCAACTGCATTCATTTTGTGCTTGGACAATCATTTATTCAACAGTTATTGTGAGCTTTGCCGTCATCAATTGTTACAAGGTCTTATTTTAAAGTCATGCATGTTTGTTTAAGCAGTGGAAGTTTTTCTACCTTGCAAAGTCCAAATGAGATTTATTCATTTATTCATTATCCCCATTATTATGTTAGTGTCTCAAATTCCTTAGTGACATGTGATATTGTTTGCAAGTACCTTTTTTTTTAATACTTGTCTGATTTACAATTTACACAACTGTTATAGAATGGAGGTTCATAATAAATTGAGATGGATTTAACTTCTATTTACGTATGTATTCTTGTCTATCTCTGTCGGGAAAATCCCTTTTCCTGTTCTTGGCCAACGAGATAGTATGTCCAGTGACCAGAAAACTGATTTTGTGGTCATGCTAAAAAAAGTGAAAAACTATTAACTGAAAAACAGTTTTTTCAAACGAAGAAGGGAAGTACTAGTCTAAGAAAAGTGTCAGTAGGGAAAGTTACATTGTGATCTTCTTTGTAATTGATTGTTGGCAGCATTTGTTAAAGGGCAGTGGTCGTTGCATGGCACGTGTTCGAATTTCATGTAAACAATGTATTTTACATGGATTGTATATATCGCTGAGTCTTGTATCGAACATGACGTGGTGCGACGACCACCGCCCTTTAATTTGACATCCATGGTATATAAGTAACAGGTGCATGTATTACCACATTCACTCTAAAGTAGCATTGAACCCTATCAAAATATTCAATGTAAACAGCAAATACCTTCTAAGAAAGTGAATACAGTATTGCCTGAATTTCTTTTGGGAGATGATTGATAAGAAAACATGTAGACATTGGGTTATTCAATTATTCTGAATTTATTTTATCTCAGTTTGATTATTTTTCTTAAAACACATACATTAAAATTGACAGCCAAACTGTAGATGTAATGTCACAAGTTTACTAGACTAAAACAGAATGGAAGCTCTATTATACAGTTATTGGCTGATGTCTCACAACACAATATTGCCATGGTTCAAACTTCTATAGACACATATACTGTGTGTCTGTGACATATGCTACCTAAATGACCATATAGTGGCCAGCTGTTCCTAATAATAAACGCAATGTAATGTGACATTTAATTGGTTCACTGGAGTCACATGTCTCGTTTCACTGATAATTCAAAATTAATATATGAATGTATATATTTATCAATAAACTATTTTACATGGCCTAATTTTGGCGTAAATTGTCCTACAATCCTCTACCACTGAATCTTTTCAGCTTGGTTAAGTTAAAAACAACAAAAGATTTTCTTTTGGCAGTTAAAAAAAAAAAAATTATAAAACACTGGACGGAAGAAATATCAAAGTATGTGCATAAAATTTCGATGTTTTTTATTTGATTTTGTGAGATCATTTGACAGTAAACCTGAATTACAAGGACATCTAAATTTACTCTTGAAGTGAAGTAGGTTATTCCAAATATCAAACTGAAAAAAGATAAGTTTGTGAATATTTTACAAACTTGATATCTTACTTTATAAGTACAACACTGCCATAACATACATAGCAAGGCAACTGAGAAAAAAAAAAAAATATAATTCAAGTAATTTGCATATTTAATCTGGCACTTTTCTCCAGCAAAAAGGAAAACTGGAAGGCAGCTTGATTAAAAGATACACACATGATTTTTTTCTAGAATTTTGTAAATAAAAAAGAAAGTATTTATTGTTCCACAAAAACTCCTGGTCTCTTTAATCCCAATATAGACTGAGGTAAGATTCTCGTATTTTAAATTTTCTGAGGTCTTTATACGACATCATTCTGCTTTTGTATGTAGTTCCCTTGCAATCCTCGGGTAAGAGATACCCGCCATCTGGTGGTATTTTCAAAAGCTGTGGTCCACCAAATGTGCCATGAAAACCAACTTTTCGGTTTCTTTTCACATTGTGTTCATACGTTCCTGGCCTGCAATAAAAGATAAGTGGATTGTTATCGGTTAACTGATAAGGTTAAGTCAAATTGTGTCTGTCTAATAACCAATCATATTGCAAAATAAATATCAAGTGTTGATCATCTCACAATGGAATAAGAAAAAGATACCAAACACAAGTAGTGCAAGACATTCTCTTAAAAATGAAATGAGATGCAAATTACAGATATGACTTACCCAGGTGTGAGATCTGGATCTTTTTGTATTTTTGGAAATCTTAATGCACCTGCTTCAAAAGGCTTATAGGCTGTCGTACTGGTCATAGGTTGAGTCACGTCTGTTTGGTATGCTGAAGGGCAAGGAGTTTTTTCCTAGAAAATAAACAAAGAAGAATTAGAACACAATACGATACAATGAAAGGCATAAAACTGAGGATGTTATAAAAGTTTAATAAATGAATTTTTTTATAAATGATTGTCAAAATTCAAATTGACATTATCGCAAGTTCTAATTAATATTAATGAGTTAGTTCAACATTCATTCAGCAAACCCTTCATTTTGAATAAGTTAGTGGTTGCAGTTGCTATGTCATGTCAGGATTGTGCGCATATTATTTATGGGCGTAGAGAATGTGGAGCCACTCATTGTTAAAAACTTTATTTTATTTTCACTTAGAATTTATTTTCGCTATATACAATGAAGGGATGAATCAAATAATGGGATGAAATAATTTTCCTATATTACACATTCAACTTCACACAGAACATTCAAAATGTCTTTTCAGCGAAAATTAATTTCAACTAAAATAAAATATTTTACAGTACTTGAATTGTGTTTACAACAAATTATTTTATACCTGGCATATGTTTATAAACTAAGGTACAGCCTTCTGCCTTTCACTGTACAACTGATACCCAAAATTTGTTATATAAATTGATTTACAATTATTTTTTGTTCAGATGTTCATTTGTGGTATGACTTACCATAAATTCTTTTCTAAATCTCGGTCCTGTCCTGGCTCCGAGTGAGTATCCTCTTTTGCTTGTTACTTGGTTATTAATATGGTAGACAAACCCACTGACCTGAAAAAAATATATCAATAATTTTAATATAAAATCTGGAATTTCAAAAGACACCTGCCACAGCTCAAAAAGAGTACTAACCTTACATTTTTTCGATCAGTTGAGAAAAATTATTCAGCAAAAATGTTTACTCAGAAAAAATATTTCCTGAATACTCAATAGTTTAATTTAGTTGCACAGAAAATTTTGCAAAAGTCGCGACTCGTTTCACTGCTATAAAATTTTGGAACTTTCTTTTGGTTTACAATATTGCACTGTCTACAGTGCTGTAGCAGTATTGTAATTTGGAAAACCATCTCACCTCATGATTGTCATATGTACCAGGTGCCCTGTTCGGTGATGACTCGGCTTGCAGGATTACCCCCACTCTGGTTGGCGGAACCTTAGCCGGAAATAACGGCCTGTCTAGTGTTGTACCAAAAGAAACATTGCTTGTTTTCTCTCTACCAAGAAGCGCTGTAAATAAAATCAGCAATTGTTAAAAAATAAAATTAAGCCGAATTTTACAACCACCATGTTTTGGTAAAAAAGACAACTTTTTGTAATACCTAATAACATAGATCTATAGATCTCGCATCAGCCCGAAGTTGTTCACAGTGAAAAAGCTTTGTTTCTTCTGAGCTAAAGACGCATTGATCATGTAAATACACTACAGACGCATTATGTCATGTCCCAAAAAACGGAAAATCAGGAAACAAACTAAGAACGTATAATTTGTTTAAAATGGAATATGAATTTGAAGGATATTTAACAGAAATTCAGGACTTCAATTTGAGAAGAATGGTTACCAAGTTTAGACTTAGTGACCATAATTTGGAAATTGAATTGGGCAGGAGAAAATTTCCAAGAATGGAGGCAAATTACAGATTGTGTAAAAAATGCAACACAGGTACTGTAGAAGATGAAAAACATTACATCCTTGACTGTTGCTTCTTCACTCAAGAAAGAAATATCCTCTTAGAAGATTGTAAATTAGAAATGTGCAGTACAACTAACCGAAATTTAATATTCACTTGCATCATAAATAGTAGTACTGCACTTGCAAAATACTTAAAAAATACAATTTATAAAACCTAATTGTACTACGCATTTTATATATACCCTTTGATTTGTTTGTAATTTTGAAACTTTTGTTGTTTTTGTTTATTTGTGTTTGTTTTTTTCTGATCTGTATCCTTACCATACAGCACCCACTGATGGTGCAGTTGTGTAATAAAGTTATTATTATTATTATTAAGTGACGAAAACAAGGCCAAATTAATTTCGAAAAAACGTCCGTTGCTGGGCCACTATCGAGGGGAATGTTGCATGGTTATAAATCGAATGTCAGTTTACGCTTACAGCCTTAAAATTGTCTGGAAATAACATGAGTTGTTTTAATGTGTAGGATCGATGTTACCGAGCGCCTTGCATGTGCACGTAGTGACCTTCGTGAGTAAATAATTGTCAGTGGTCTACCTAAAACGTTATCCAAACTTCACCACGTAAAATCAGCCTGTGGTTGAATAAGATGGCCAATAATTAGATAACATCGGCTTACTTACCCTCTAATGATGTAGCCATTTTGGCGTTGAACCGCGACGTGGACTCTGACCGCGATCGTTGAATTTGCAACTATGTCGCCGTGTTCTTCAAATCGAATAATAATGACTTGTTTAGCGTCCGTAACCATGGATTGATACTGTCCTCTTTGCGGCGTGTTGTAAAAAATGTTGAATATAGAAGTTTGTGCCGTAACAATGAAATATTGTTAGTATAGATAAAGTAATTTGTTCAAACATATTCTTTTAATTGACAGAAAATGCTTATATATTTATGTTTTATGCCGAAATAATACAAATGTCGTAATAAATCGTGTTTTACGTTAACAAACGAAAGAAGTACCAACATTTGTTCAGGAGGGCGCACTACATACAATAATGGCGACGTTTAGGTAATGTCACGATGTTGCGCGCTGGATATTTTCACGGTATTGTCCACAGTTGTTCACTTATATTTGTTAATTTACCAAACAAACACCAAGAGGAGCGTACACTTCCTATGGTTAGACGTGTTTTTGCTGGCTTTGTGTTTCTTTTAAGTAACTAACCCAACTTTCCGACATGGCCACTGCTTTGAGTGAAGATGTGTTGTTAGTTGTCAGTCACGTTCGTCACAAGAAGAGAGACGGCTCCTTGTATCTGATGACTGAAAGAATAGGCTGGATGGAAGGAAGTCGCCAAATGTTTTCTATTAGCCATTTATATGCGGATATTAAAAGTAAGTTGAACAAATGTAGTGCAATGTCATCTGGTATATCTTTCTACTTCATTCGGTGGAAGTGAGAAAAGTATAATTATGTGTATGTAGGTAGCAGCTCGGAAACCATAATACAACATCTTTGTTCACCAGAGAATAAATAACATTAGTGTTGGTGTGTTCTTAACTTGTTTGTAAATTGAAATTTAGTCTTTAATGCTTTAGAAAAAGATTTTTTTTTTATTTGGTTCAGTGAGGGACGGTGGTTCATGGAATAAATATTAACTCAAAACAATAAAATAAAATTGTATACCGATGTCATTAACATCTGTTGGTTAACAATGTCCAGTAGTAGTTCTTTGGTACAGGACCTGATTGAACTGGTAATTACTGTAAAATCCTTTTCGTTTTTAATTGATTTCATTTAAGTTAGTGAACCAGCAATCCAATGCAATCTAGTGAAATGTGATGAATTTCAGTTTAAACTATATATTTTTTGTGAAAGCTGATCAGCAGACTATAGCTTGCCTTATACATGTAAGGCATACCCACTGGCAAAAAGTGCTTCTGTTGTGTATAGATGAATGTAAGCAAAACAACTGTTTAGAAAATGGAGTGGATTTAAGGTCGCATAGATATTCATTAATTTTCAATTCACTGGTTTGTGAATGAGGTAACACTTTCTATAGTGGTTATCTTTATTTAATTTAAAACATTTGGCTAATGGAAAAATCTTTATTGACATAACCTGATAGAATGGACAATATGCTGCTACATTATTCATTGGGAGTTATCATACTGAAATATACATTTGATTCTCATTTACACCAACATTTGACATTTCCTTTCTGTAGTGCAAAAGATCAGCACAGAGGGCAAGGCTAAAGTTCAGCTACAACTAATACTACATGATGGCGGTGCAAACACTTTTCACTTTGCCAATGCAGAACGTACAAGTGCCTTGAAAGATAGAAATGATGTTAAAGAACTCCTGCAACAGCTACTGCCAAAATTCAAGACTAAAGCTAATAAAGAATTGGAAGAGAAGAATAGGTATAGTACCGGTATACCAGTAACCTAGCTTGCAACTTATTTTAATTCTAGTAGTAATCTTGTGCTATAAAATTAAAGAAATTGGAGAAACTGAGCAGACAAATATAATATATAGAAAATGGTATTAGAAAGGACTATGATTACCTACTACTATTTTCTATATACCGTAGTTTTATGCAAGGTGTCACTCTCTGTATGTGTGTGAAGGATAGAGTCATTCTTTGATATGGGGATGTGTATGGCAAATGTCTACTTATTTAGGGTTTAAAAGGATAACAAATGATATAATTTACCAAATTTTACTCATTTCATTACTACATGTATTAGTCTAATATAAAATCAATTTGAGGAACCAAAAAGTAGAACCACAAATCATTGAATTTACTCCATAAATACAGATAATCTACAAAGTTCATGGTTTGAATGGGTAAAAAAAAATCCTGATATTTTTTGTAACACAGTGCAATAATGATGATAATAATGTTACTGCCAAAACTACCTGTTATATTGACACTGTAGCAAATATCTCATCATGTTGATTGTTTGGGATCATGTTACAAAGCTTAGAAACAAAGTGTGAAATTTTGGAGCTAGGCAGATTTCTACCTGCCCATATATAGCAGCCAGATATTAAAACAATGAACCATGACACATAAAAAGTTTGTGGTATGTCAATAAGGAAGGATTGATTATGCTAAGAGATACAGAATGATTCAGATCCCCACTATCTTTGATTACCGGTAATTCTAGGCATTTGAGCATTGTGCTCTCCTTATTTTGACCCCCTAGTTACATTATTTTGTCTTTAGTGTTGTATCTTATATTGCTTCCTGAAATATCACCACTAGTACTAGATGTAAAATATTTTATTATTTTTAAATTTCCAGAATGCTACAGGAAGACCCAGAATTATTTCAATTGTATAAAGATCTTGTTATGAGTGGAGTTATTTCTGCTGATGAATTCTGGGCTAATAGGACTGTGGTAAGTATCACTTATTGGCTGCATTCAGTATACATGTATGTCATCACTGCTGTACAGTATTTATTCTATTAGAAGTGCTTATGCTTATATTGCACCTATGTTTGATGGTCACTGTATTTCCCAGTCAGAGACTCTAAGCGTGGAAATTCAATTACAGCTAAATACAAAAGCCAATTCAGCCATGTTTGTGCTGCGTAAACATGAAAAATATAATAATTTTTCCTTTATTTTTGTTGTCAGTTGTGGTTACCTAATTGAAAAAATACTGATTGTTCACAGTTGTTTTGTTTTTCCAAAAACGAATATACTTTATTCAATTTCACAGGCCTTATGGCTCAGTCAGTTGAATTCTCACTCACAGTATTCTGAAATAAATAAACTGTTGATGGCTTGTTATTTTCTATGCATTTGATATAGAATGCATTTCGCATCAACAAACCATTCATAAAGTTTATAATTTAATGATCAGATCAGATTATAAGCTAACAACAAATATATTCCAGACTCCATATAAACTGTGTCATTCATGTCGATATGGTCAAGATTTAGACACCATTTTACATTGTGCTCAACAAGTTTTTTTGACAGTTTCACACAAGATCTATGTCATTTACCAATATAGGCCTGTGTCTGTAGTAACCTTATAACTGTTTTTATTTAGAATTCCACAGGTTCCCAGAATACCCAGCATCAGGATGTAGGTGTGTCGGCAGCATTTCTGGCAGACATTAAACCACAAACCGATGGTTGTAATGGTTTAAGATATAATCTGACAGCTGATATTATAGAATCTATATTCCGTACATATCCAGCAGGTATGTATTTTTATTTAATTTTTTGATCTAGGTGTTAAGCATGCATTTGTATGTAGTTCATTTGACTTGTGTTTGTTTCCGTTTGAAAAGTAGCATTTGAGCTATTGCATGATAAAAAAAAAATTGTTATATTTCTGCTGTCAGAAATATTAAATAAATCGATGATATCTACCGGTACTTGAGGACTTTATTTTATTTTATTGTGATTAAGTTAATGTGACTCGCTGTCTGAAGAAGCTCAGTGAAATGTTCTCAGAACAGAAAAATAATTATTTGTAACAAACATGATTTTAATATTTTTTATTGAGATACTCTAATGACAATAACATTTTTACTTGATAATTGCATGCTCTCTCTATATGAATAATAACAGCGCAGCTTTGATGCTTATTTACAGTTAAAAAGAAACATGCCGAAAATGTTCCAGATAATATGTCAGAGAGTGAGTTTTGGACAAGATTTTTCCAGTCCCATTATTTTCACAGGGATCGAATAAATGCTGGAAATAAAGACTTATTTACAGATTGTGCTAAGATTGATGAGAAAGGTATAATATGCTGTTTGATTGTAACATCTGCCTGTCTGTCTTGCATGTGTCTGTATGTTAACTTTTTCACCACCAGACTTTCGTGCTCAAATTTTTCTGCACTTTTTTCTTATATTCTCCAATATATCTGTAAATGAACCTAATTTTAGAGCCAACAGACGAAATTTTAGTAAATTTTCTGTTTTTGCTCAAAAAATTTGGCTATTTTTGTCCCAATTTTCTGAAGAAAAGTGCAGACTATAAACAAGACTATTTTTGGATATGTGACTGGTGGTGAAAAAGTTACTAGTAATATCTTCAGATTGTCAGTTGCTTCTGTCATGATTGGATAGTTTATTGCATTACATAGTTACTTCCATGGACATACCAAAATCAATGGGGTATAAAGCAGGTAATGTGTCAAAGGTGATGTCACCTGTAATCAGATTACTAGTAAAAGTGATTGGTGTCTGTAACTACTCCAGATTGAGAATATATAATTTATTCATGAATAAACTTATTTAAATGAACTAATTTTGTTAAATTGTTTAAAATTACTAATATACCATCTAATATCTATGTAATATTTTGTATCTGTGTCTTAAATCCCACCACAAATTGCCTGATTTGCTTGTATTCAACCACTTATCATACAATGTTGTATACCAGGTATGTCTGGCTGACATGTTTAAGTAAAACGTGAATCAAAACCAGTTTGCATATGAAAATGATTTTCCATAATTATTACAGAAATGAAGAAAGTTGTGAATGAAAGATTGGATGATCCATTGTTAGATTTAAGTGGTATGTCAGATAGCTCATTTGGTGAGGTAATGTTTACTTTTTTGTAAAACCATTTTTCGCACCAATAAGTGACTTGGTTAATTAAATAACCATGATTGTTGCGCCATATTCTGTGTAAATATAACAATATATTTTATAATGTGCATAAATCAGAATTATTTTATGAGCTGGGTTTTCATTTCACTTATTTAAATCCAGTGAATATTCAAATATAACAATAGAACCTATATTCTTCACAAAGCAGTGAATTTAAAAGCTAGTGAATATTCTGGTGACATCACATCTGCTAAAATTAAACACAGTGAAAATGTCCCCTCTTATCTAGTATATGTTGTATGGTGGACTTGTATCAGCAATAAGGTAGCAAATGTGGCTTTATATTGTCATCATGAACATGCATGCATTAAACTTGTAAACTCAATGAATTTTCTGCATCAGATAAATTTATGTCTGAAAATTGCATAACACATTAGGAATAGGGAATTTCTGGTAGTAGTAGTAGTCCAGAGTTTTAAATCCGGTTTGGTCCCCGAAGACGAGGGTGGCCGGATTCACCTTAAACTAGTGGCAATCGCTCTTACCCCCTCCCTCCACTTTGCATGATTTAAAGCATCCCTCATCCTCATCCTCATCCCAATCTTCCCACTCTCCTCCTCCACTTGCATCTTCCACGTCTTCTTTGGCCTTCCCCTTTTCCTTGGACCGCTCACCTCTAAATCAAGGGCCCTTAATACATGCCCATCCTCCCTCCTCAGCACATGCCCATACCAACGTACCCCATTTGCCTTCGCCAACCGATCTACCGCTTCCTTCAAACCCAACATCTGCATCAAGTCCTTAGTTTTCTTTCTGTCCATCAACTTCACCCCACACATCACTCTCACCATCGCTCTCTGTCCTCCTTAAAATACCCATTTCATTTTCACTCAAA